ATACAAGGAAAGCAAACACCCACAGAAACTGGCGACTGATGGGCATCATGCGGTGGCCGGGCCAGGACCACAGTCACTCTTGCGTATATGCAGATGGAGCCCTCAGCTGCTCTCAGAAATGGAAATTCCAATGCCATCCATGCAGGAAGATGGGGGGCCAGACCCAGGGAAGGCTGGGACTGAGGTCCTGAAGCTAGGGCAGAAGCTTGACAGGCTATAGGAGGTTGGACAAGCAATAGGCCTTCAGGGAGGGCTTGGCACAGGCCGGGAATGTAATCAGATAAGATTCAGCATTAAGGGGAAAAAAAAAGACAATGATCAGCATAAAACAGGGAGAACAGAACATCTGAGCATACCCATATATTCACACACACACACACAGCTGATGAAAGTGAGCAGCACAGAACAGAGAATCAGAGAACTGGCAAGCAGGCCTCCTTCCAGGGAAACAGGCTCTGTGTCTGCCTTCCTTCTGTCAGGTTTCCTGGAATACAGAGGGCAGAGGCAATTTCCCCATCTTCCCTTCCCACCAGGCCTTTGGGTGTGTCCCTCACTGCCCGACTTAAAAGCTTCAGTCCCTGGAGGGAGCTGATCCCTAAGTGACTGGAGAAGCCCCACCAGTGTAAGCCTCACCCTTGCAATCTGAAGCTGCCTTCGCTGAACTGTGCTGACCCCGCACCTGGACCCACCGGGAAACAGAGCAGGATGAACGCCCGGCCTCCCCACCTTCATGCCTGTGCCTGCTCCCTGTGTGCTTGCCTCTGCACAAAGGCACATAAGTCACTCTAGGACACCCCATCTGTCTCGTTCCCCTTCAGAGCACAAAGCAACCCAGGTATCTCATCGTCAGGCTTTAGTCTCTATATTATCTTCTTTCATGTGTTTGTACGTGTTTGCCTGCATGTGTTTAGGTACACTGCATGCATGCCTAATACCCAGTGTGGCCAGAAAAGGATCCCCTGGAACTAGAGTGACTGATGGCTGTAAGCCACCTTGTGGGTGCTGGGCACCGAACTCGACTCCTCTGCATGAACAGAAAGTGCTCTTTTTTAGCCACTAAACCATCTCTCTAGCTCCTCACTATCAGTGTTTTGTCGTTGTTGCTGTTGTTGGTTGGTTGGTTAGTTGGTTGGTTGGTTGGTTGATTTGGTTGATTTGGTTTTTTTGAGACAGGGTTTTTCTATGTCATCCAGGCTGTCCTGGAACTGGCTCTGTAGACCAGGCTGGCATCCAACTCAGAGATCTGCCTGCCTCTGCCTCCCAAGTGCTGGGATTAAAGAAATGAGCTGCTGTCACCGGCCTACTATCAGCTTTTTATACTGCCCTATTCTAGACTCTCTTATCTAAAAGACACATAAAATGTCTCTTCTAAGGGATACGATGCCCTCTTCTGGCATTTTTTGGCACTGCATACACACAGTACACGGCCATGCATGCAAGCAAACACCCATACACATAAAACAGAAATAAAATCTTTTTAAAGAAGATTTATTTATTATGTATACAATGTTCTGCCTGCATGTATATCAGCACGCCAGAAGAGGGCACCAGCTCTCAGTATAGATGGTTGTGAGCCACCATGTGGTTGCTGGGAATTGGACTCAGGACCTCTGGAAGAGCAGCCAATGCTCTTGACCTCTGAGCCATCTCTCCAGCCCCCAAAACACAATCTTGAAACAACAGTGAAGGACAGCTCTGCCCAACCATGCAGGCTCTCTCCAGTCCTGTCAGACCCAAGGCCAAAAACCCAGAGCCAGGGTGCCTATGAAGATCAGCATGAGAGAAGAAAACTGAATCCAATGTAAGACATTTCCTGGGCTGCTCTGAGGGGCCAGGACTCTGCCCTCTAGGCCATTTTCTGAAAGCCTTCTTGGTCCCCACTTCCTCACAGGCCTGTGAGCTCTTCAGATGGAGTTCGAGTTTATATTCTCTGTTTCTTCCAGCTTGGCTTGTCTGATAGGGAAGGAAGTGACTGAGGTAGCATCTCCTACCTCAGTGAGCACAGGAAAGCTAGAGTCATTCTAAAGCCCTTTCCCATTTGGAGCCTTCTGTAAGTCCCACATGTCTTAGATTTGATGTCACTGCCCCACTTAGGATAAATGTCTCACTCAAGGACATAGACACCCAGTGGGGGGGGGGGGACGAAGGTTGGGGAAAGCGGCAGGAATTCAGGCCTTAAAATTCCCAGTGCGGAAGAGTGTTCCCATATGTTACACAGCCTTCATTTGTCATTTACCGGTGCTGTCCCCAGTTCTCATTAGAGAAGCGCCTCACAGTCACTCCGTTAGTACAGAAGCCTCTAACTGACCCAAAGTGCCGAGAATGAGTGAATGTGTGACCTCGGAGGGAGTGCTTGACCTTAAAGGAGACAGCTTGATCACTCCCTCCTGGTTTGGGGAGAGCCTTGCAGAACAGGGACGGGTGGAGCAAGCCGAAGAATGTGAGGGACAGGAGTGGGGTGTCTTCTGAATATGACAGCGCCTGTACACTCACAGACCCAGTGCAGCTGTGGTCGTGTGCATCAGGACCTGCACACAGCCGGGGCCCGGAGGGCTCAATTTTCACCGAGGACGGAGGAAGGATCTGCAAGGCCCCACCCCTCGAGGGGGGACTACGGCTTGCAGTTGTTGGGGACTTATAATAGAAAATGTTTACTGGGTTCCAGAGGGTTGGAATCCATGCTCATCATAGTGGGAAGCATGGCATAGGCAGGCAGACACGATGCTGGAGCAGCAGCTGAGAGCTCATATCTTGGCCCACAAATTGGAAGCAGAGAGATGGATACCTGGGAAGGCTGTGAACTTTTGAAACCACAAACCTTGCCCTACTGACACACCTCCTCCAATGAGACCAGTCCTTCCCAAACAGTTCCGCCAACTAGGAAGCCAGCAAAAATACGAGCTGATGGGGCCATTCCCACTCAAACCACCACGAGAGAGCAGGGTTTTATTTAGCCCACGCTGGCTTTGAATCCTGAATCCTGTGTTCCACCCCTCGAGTGGGTGCTGGGATTAGAGTTGCTTGCCATCACACTTGGCTTATATGGTTCTAGAGATCAGACCCTAGATCAGACCAGGGCCTCTGGGTAGGGAGTAAGCACTCTATCAAAGGAGCAAAATCAACAAAGTGTGTGTGTGTGTGTCTGTGTGTCTGTGTGTGTGTGTGTGTACTGTTAAAATCCATGGCTCCACACATGCTAGGCAAGTGTGATCCTCCTGAGCTACACCCTGATTCTTAATTCAAGCTACAGAGGAGATACTTCAGCAGGTAAGAGTACCTACTGCTCTTGCAGAGGAAATGCGTTTGGTTCCCAGCATCCACATGGCGGCCGCCACATGGCGGCTCACAGCTGTCTGCAACTCCAGTTCTAGGCGATCAATGCCTCCCTCTTCTGACCTCTGCAGGCTCCTGCATATACACATGCACATATATACACTTGGATACACACACACACACACACACACACACACACACGTACACACAGAGTTAAATACATAAATATTTCAAAAAACCTAGGCTAAAAGGCCAGGGAGGCGGCTATGTGGTTAAAGGCACTTGCCACACAAGCCTGATGACTTGAAATTGGTTCCCCAGGACCCATGTAAAAAGCCAGCTGTGGTGTAGTGCATCCGAAAGCCCAGCATCCCAAGAAAGTGGAAGATGGAGAACAGAGGATCACCCAGATACTAGTCCGGTGCACTCAGATGGACAGAAACAAGAGAGACCCTGCCTCAAAAACAAGGTAGAAAAGTGAGGATCAACTCAAGGACGTCGGTTCGATTATCTCCACATAAGAGTCCTCCTGCCTCTGCTTCCCTAGTGCTTGTGGCTATTCAGTGGTCAGCTTGAAAGTCCTTTTCCTGTCTTCCTTTCCTTACCCAGGCTTCAAAACCCTGGATGGAAGGAATCAACTCCCCAAGTTGTCCTCTCTCCTCACACTCATGGTGTGGCATGCATTCACTCACCCCACTAAATAAGTCATACATGCTTACATACATACATACATACATACATACATACATACATACATACATAGGAAATAAACATGGTCTCACTTTATAAGCCAGGCAGGCTTTTGATCTCATGGTGTGTGCCCCTCCTCCCCCCAGTTTGTCGAGACAGGTTTCTCTGCGTAGCCTTGGCTATCCTGGAATCACTCTACAGACCAGGCGGTCCTGGAACTCACAGAGATCCATCTGCCTCTGCCTCCCTAGTGCTGGGCATAAAGGTGTGAGCCCCACATCCGGCTGTATGGTGTCCCTCCTGCCTCCACCTCCGTTAATTACAGGCGTGACCCATCGTGTCAGCTTTCATGTTTTCTTTCTTTCTTTTCAATATATTTTATGACATTCTCTTGAAGTCCAAAAAGCTCGAAGGAGAAATTTAACACAGTATTCTTCTCAGATTTATTTTATCTTTTGTGTATGCATGTTTTGCCTGCACGTGTGTATGCGCACTGCATGTCTGGTGACTTCGGAGGACAGAAAAGGGTGGTTGGATCGCATGTACATGATTTGTGAGCTGCCACGTGGGAATCGAACCCAGGTTGCTCTTCTGGAAGAGCAACAAGTGCTCTTAACCACGGAATCAGTTCTCCAGACCTCGCCTTTTCCATTACAGAGAAGAATAATTCACTGGCCCTCACCGGGATGCTGAGGTAGGGGCTGGACTAACCCTTTGTACAAGGGAAGGAAGGGAGGAGATGTCGTGCGGTAGACACGGGCTGTTCCCACATCACTTTCTGCCTGGCTCCTGCAGGCTCTCCAGGTTGCAGAAGTTCCCACCACCTCACCTGGATCCCACTTAGGCAGCCCGTTGCGCCCTGGGGCCCAGAAATGCGGACCTTCTGCTTTAAAAGCAGCCGCCGCTTGAGGCCTAGGCGGTGTCCGGGGCCTGAGCCTTGCAGCAGGAGCCCGCGGCTAGACGCTGTCTCCTAGCAACCAACTGCGGTCACGTGCCCGTGCGGGTTGGCCTCACGTGGCTCAGGGCCGAGCTACCGTTGGAGCTAGCGCAACGGGACGGGCGGGGCCGGGAAGTTTGTTCCTGAGTTCGGAGCCCAGGAGTCCCCGCGGCCGTCGCGCAGGTGCCCTCCGCCGGGGTCAGGATGGAGCTGCCCGCCGTGAACTTGAAGGTGGCCGCGCGGCCGGGGCGGGCGGGAGTCCAGGAAGCGGAAGGGAAGGCGCGGAGTCCAGGGGAGGAGGCAGCGGACACCGAGAGGGACACCTGGGGACAGAGATGGACAGGGCCGCCCCTCCCGGACAGACCTACGGGTCCCCGACTGCCCGGGCCTGCGCTCCTGGTGTCCCCCAGCAGCAGGATAGGGACACCTCTCCTCCTAAGAGGTCAGACCCCCTCCAGTGCAGTCCCGGTGGGTCCCTCTGTGTGTTTGCACGGGTTAGGAGAAATCCGGTGTCCCCAAACAATTGCTTCTCCCTAATTCCCTCTTGTAGCGTCCTTATTTCATAATTAAGAAGCGGGAACTGCAGAAGTTTCATAAAAGCAAAAAACCCCAGAGCCTGTGCCTGGCCCCAGGCAGCGCGGCTGCCTACGGGTGTCTTCATTTCCTGAGTTCCATTTCTCTCCCAGCCCTCCTAGTTTGCAACAGAGGGTTTGGCTACTTAGCCTCGGCCAGAGGGGTGTGGACCTGGAACTAAACCGGCCATCTTGGGCCTTGGTTGCAGGCGCCTTGAAACCCTTAGACTCCTGGGTGTCAGAGCATTTAGCACGCGTTGGTGTCTAGAGGCCAAAGGGACGGAAGAGATAGGTGGCTTTGGAGCGGCCCTGCACCTCCAGAGTTGAGATGGGCTGTGACTTGCTCTAGCTGGTTTTCACCATTCCTAAGTTCCTGGCCAGCAGCTGGAGGGAAACATGATTGGAGCAAAGGAGTAGGCTTGGGCGGATCCCTTAGCTGGGGAGGGGTTTACAGGCTGCAGCAGGGCTGGTTGCCTGCCCTCAAATAATTAAGAGGACAGCTTGAGTCTCAACAGTATGGCATTTGAGTAGCCCACCGCCAGGCCTGGGGTTTGATCCCAGTACCACAAACAAACAAGCAAATAATAGTAATAATAATGGCAAAATATAGCAACAGGTGAGGAAAGAGCTGGTGTTTATGGGCTGATATGTTTTATTCATTTGTTTAGGGTCTTGTGTGGTACAGGCTAGCCTTGAACTTATGTATAGCTGAGGATGACCCCAAACTTCAGACCCTGCTGCCCCCACCTCTCCAGTTCTGAGACTGCAGGCCTGTAATGCAGTACCAGGCATGAAACACAGCGCTTCTTGCATGCTAAGGAAACACTCTGCCAACCAAGCCATATCTCACAGCCTGTGTTGCTTATTAATCTCCTCCACTGAGAAGGCTGAAGCTGTGCCCTGTTGTTTTTGTTTTGAGACAGGCTTTTGCTATCTAGCTCTGGCAGGCCGGAACTCACTTTGTAAAGTAGGCTGTCTTTGAACTCACAAATATCTGCTTGTTCTTGCCTCCTGTGTGCTGGGATTAAAGGCGTGCACCACCATTCCTGGCCAGAGATGCTATATTCCTTTATAGAGGGGCAAACTTCAGTTTAAATCATGCAAGTAAATTGCCAGGGACCCCAAGAAATAAGAGGTGCATCTCCACTGCTTGCCATTTCCTGGTGTCTGGTTGCTTAGGGCTAACATTGGTTTTAATGACCTATGTCAACTTTTAGAGCCTGACAGAGCATCTAGCACAACTGTGAGGTAGATGGGCTTTTGGGCCCAGGATGTAAAGACTGAACCCTCCCTTGATCTGATTGACAAGCCCTTTGTCTCCATGGATCTTAGCAGGAGCCAGTCAGAAGCAAGTGAGCGCTAGAGATTGTGAAGTAACGCATAGGAAGGACATGCAGTCACTTTTGGGCTTCACATCAGTGACAAAGTTTTACTGTGTGCCTCAGTATTGGGGACATACTGAATTATCCATAATCTGAAAATCAGAGTGAGGCTCAGTGTTCTGTTGCTTTGTCTGCTAGATCTGGTAACCCTATGCAGGATAGCTGGGGCACCGTGGTTGCCCCTCTTGACTCTGCCCTCTGTCCTTTAAAAGCCTGCCTGCTCTGCCCAGCTCAGCTGGAGTGGCCAGGTGAAAAGAAGCAGTTGCCCCAGGCTCTGTGTAAGAAGCTGGTTCCTTCCTGAACCTCACCCACGCTCCTCTAGAAGCAGGAGCTGAGCTGCAGCAGCTCAGGGTAGACTACACTTTTGAAGTGTTGGGAGAAGGAGCAGTGGGGAATCTGACAGGGGTAATAAGGCCTGCTGTGTTGAGTGCCTCACACACCTCCATCCCCCTGCCCTCCAGAGCAGGGCTGAAGAGCAGGTGGCAGTTGTATGAGGCTTGCCCAAGTCTGTGTGTGGAGCTAGGAGCTGCTCCATGGGTCTGACTCCAAAGTCTGCCAGATGACCAGGGCAGGACCTGCCTCTCCTCCTGGGTCATCCTTGAACTCAGCTGTCCTTGGGGCATCCTACTGTCTTATCTAACAGGCCACCAAGTGTTCGAACAGGACACACTGGAATGTATTTAAGTTGTGGTCTGGGAGGTCCCCATGCCCTCCTTCTTTGGGAATAGCAAACAAAGGCTTACTTTGTCTTCTCATGGTTGGTGAGTTCTCTATCACTGAGCCACAGTCCACAGCCCCAAACAGAGGGTTAATAATTGTGGCCCTTTGGCTTCTGCTGACCCACCCTTTTCTAAGTTAAACTTCATTCTCTTCTGTCCTGTTTTCTTCCTTGCAGATCCTGATAGTGGACAGGCTTTGGGGCCAGGCTTTAAGGCCAGGCATTGACATTGCGTTATCTGTGTGACATTAAGGAGGTTTCTTGGCCTCTCTGAGCATCAGTTTGCTCTCTCTAAAAAGAGGTGCAAAACAAACTGTGCCTTCTAGGGTGTGAGGGGATTAAAAACTCAGACCAGATGTAGGGCAATGATGGTGTACACAGAGGCAGGCAGATCCCCGTGAGTTTGAGGCCAGCCTGGTCTATAAAGCAAGTTCCAGGACAGCCAGGGCTACACAGAGAAACCCTGTCTTGAAGCACCAAAAACAAAAACAAAAAAAAAACCTCAGTCCAGAAAACAGGTCTACATTTGCAAGTTTCTCTGTGTAACAGCCCTGGCTATTCTGGAACTCACTTTATAGACCAGGCTGTCCTAAAACTTAGAGGTCCACTTGCCTCTGCCTCCCAAGTGCTAGGATCAAAGGTGTGTGCCCGCATGCCCAGCTCGAGACTCGGTCTCTTGATAGGTTTGCTTTCCATGGGCATTCTGCACTGTCACTCTCTGCCATGTTCCCTCGAGGTGTCGTCTCACACTGAACATGGAGCTCACTGATTTGCCTAGACTAGCTGGCCAGTGAGCTCAGGGATCCTCCTGCAGTAAAGTTCCTTCCTGTAGGCAGGAGTGACAGCACCTAGGCCTTTCCCTGCCTGTCTGCCCTGGTCGAGCACACAGCTTTGCCGTCAGTCTAACCCTGCCATCTGCCACAGCAAAGCTCCTGGCGTCCCAGGAAGTCTCTGGCCTACTATCACCTCTGCCTTGCTCATGCCCTCCGCCCACTCAGAGGGCTGGTCCTGGCTCCCTGCCTCAGCCTGCCTGAGAGCATGCTTAGCTTAGCCTCAGCACTCAGTCAGGAAGCCTGGAACCCACTCTAGCTGACAGTACCCTATTCTTCTCATGGCCTCAGCCCCTCCTGTCTTAGCGCTCCAGGCAGTGCCGTCTGGATTACCAGAAGAGGCCAGTCCAAGACCAGGGCTATGATTTCAAGGACGCCAAAAGCAGTAAAAGGGTAGTGTGGAAATCCAGGCAGGCAGGAGGGATTTTGTCCTTAATGAGACATATTGCAGTGTCTCCTGCAGAGTAGTCTCAAGCTCCACTGGGTCATTAAACTTGAAATCTGAGCTGCCAACCACTGATTTTGGACCACCTCTACTGTCTCCCACCTCTCCCCTTACTGTTTGTTTTGAAACAGGCCTAGGTTAGTCTTGAATTCATTATGTTGCTGAGGATGATCCTGAACTTCTGATCCTCCCAAGGTGCTGAGATTACAGGCATGCACAACTATGCCTAACTTATGGCAGTTTTTTTCTATGTGGGGATTGAACTCTGGGCTTCAAGCATGTTAGGCAGGCACTGAGTCCCAGCCCCATCTCCTTGCTCCTCCCCTGCAGCTTCTGTGGCTGCCTTCCCCTCTGGAGCCCATAGCTCTGGCTCCAGGTCCTAAGAACTCCTTGTTGGAGGCCCCTCCCACTCTCCATTCAGACTTCTGATTCCAGGGCTCATGCCTGTAATCAGCCCCTGTAAGAAGCTCCTAGCCCTTGGAAACAGGAAGGGGCAGAGGTGCCTGTCTCCACCAGGCGTCTCCTTCTTTACCACAGATGCCTCACTTTTGCTGGGATTTTTTTTAAGACGTTTGTGAGAGCCTTGTAGGTGCCAGGCAGGGCCTCCTGTGTGTCCTGGCTCCACAGGCCTTGCGCTGCCTGTGACATTGCATTCACAGACTTACCAAGCCTGTCCTTGTGCTACAGGTTATTCTCCTGGTTCACTGGCTGCTGACGACCTGGTAAGTGGCTCTGGGGGTCTGGTTGTATCCACATGTCTCCTGGCTGTCCGCTGTGTCACCTGGGGTCTGTGTCCACACTTCCCTGGGGTCAGTTAGCATTCAGCAGTGTCTCAGCCTGCCTCATTAGCAGTCCATTCTGCCGAGAGCTGGGTGGCTTTCACCTCTTTACAGTGGGATAAGGATTGGCTCCTGCGGCAGTGCTTGCCAACCAAGCCCCCAAGTGAGGCTTCAGGACGCAGCTTGGTCTCCGCTGTCACTTCTGTCCAAAAAACAAGTCAAAAAAAACCACTGAGACCATGCGTTTTGCAGGCTTTGAAGGGCAGTGAGCATGCCAACAGCTGTGAGTGATACCAGCGTGGAAGCAGGGCTCACTTTCCCTGAGGTTGGTTCCACACTGGTGACTGGGCAGCGCTCACACCCGCTTTTCCGAGACAGAAGATAGGAGGACTGGAAAACAGGCTTCTTGGCCTAATTGCCAATCCAGTCCCAGGCTTGCTGAGTGTCAGGGCCCAAAGAAACCCAGAAAGTCTCACTCAGAACCTGTGGCTCCACCCCTATACCTCCCGTAAACCTCTCCAGCCCAGGGTCTGGGCTTCCCCTTCCTTCCCTTTCCCCAGCTTCTGAATCCTATATAACTCAGTCGTTTTGGCTACACGCCGTCTTGGTTCTGCTCTTGGCTCCTCTCCTGGACCTCACTTTATTTGCCCTTTCTCTTCTCTTCTTTCCTCTCTCTTTCCCTTCCTCTTGCTCTCCCCTACACCTCTCCTCTCATGTCCTGGTTCAGTCTGCTGGCTATGTTCAGTCTGGACCCTGACTGCTCAGCCTGTGGCTGTTCTCTCCCTCGTATCTACACAGCCATGCCTAGGAGCAGTCAGTCCTCATTTTCATTCACCGCAGCTGTGTGACCTGGTTAGTCACCTGTTAGGCCTGTGCCTCCGAATCTGTGAAATGAGGCTCAGAGTAACACCTCTCCCAAGAGCAGCTGTGAAAGATGAATTTAGAGTGTGTGGGACAGTGCCAGGTCCCAGGAAGTGCCCCGGGTTAACTGTGGAAAGCCCAGCTCTGCAAAGAAATAAGTGATGTCAGTTTATAGTGATACCCTGAAAACTACAGCAGGGAGGGCACTGGGTCAGGTCAACAGGGGAGTGGATCCCCTCAGGCAACGTTTGAGCTCTAAGATGACAAGACATGGCTGTATGTTAAGGAAAACGAAGCCTCAATGGTCAGCAGCCAGGAGGTAAGGACGGGGCTCATGAGAACCCCTATAGACTACAATTCTTAGAAGGTGTCGTATTCTACACATGTCAGAAAACTGAAAGGTTAGTGTGGAGTCACGTGATCTGGCTCACTGCTTGCTATTTCAAGAACTGCCTGCAGGGGGCAGGAGTGACAGCAAGACCTATACAGAGAAGCTGTGGGCCCTATGCTTGTGGGAGAGGATGGATGAGCCCAGGTTCAGGAAGCCAGGTGGTCTATTCGCAAAAAGGCAAAGACTCCTAGAGCAGGAGGAAGGAACTGTGGGAGGAGGGGAGGACCACTCAGGGTGGCGACTGGCTGATTGATAGTGTCTCTCTATGCAGGGGCTGCTTGGTGTTCTCAGGCTCCTATGCCTGGAGCAACTTCACTATCCTGGCCCTGGGCTTGTGGGCTGTGGCCCAGCGGGACTCTGTTGATGCCATAGGCATGGTGAGTGGGGAGGGGTGGTAGGAGAGAGGGCAGGGAACTGGCTCCCTCCGTGTGCCCCCTCGTCTGTGCCAGTATTCTCTCCTCATCATGTCCCACCTTTTTCTGTCCTAAAGCCTCATACACAGCCTCCCAGGATGGAGAGCGAGCCTCTAGCTGGGCTAGCAAAGCTCCCCACCTCTGCTGTTGTCTTCTCCAAGACAGACATAGGGTAGAGATCGCAGAACCCCAAGATTGGCTATCCTCCCAGCAGTCTGACCTGCTTCAGGGTCGTCTCTTGGGGAGAAAGGATGTGACTGGGAGGCCTGGCTAAAAGGGAGCACCCCTGCTTTATGGAGTCAGAGCTGATACTGGCCTGATACTAGGGAGGTACCTACTTCTTCACACTGAGGCCATGGCTCCTTAGGAGAATTGCAAAGGGAACTTTCCTAGTTTTCTGGACTCCAAGGGACTGTCCCTCTCAGAAATTTCAGAGCCAGGTGTTGGGCCCTATCATGACCTCAGTGGCAGGAGGTGAGGTTGGGGAATTCTGGGGCAATAGGCTGGAGTCAGACTCCTGCTCCCAGGCCATGCAGGTATCAGTCACAAGACATATTCCAGGCCAGTGTGTGTGAGGGAAGCTTTCAGGCTGGTGGGTGTCAGTGCCTGTGACCCTGTGATGGTGTTTCTTGCAGTTTCTTGGTGGCTTGGTTGTCACCATCTTCCTGGACATTATCTACATCAGCATCTTCTACTCCAGTGTTACCATTGGGGACACTGGCCGCTTCAGTGCAGGCATGGCCATCCTCAGTTTGCTGCTCAAGCCCTTCTCTTGCTGCCTTGTGTACCACATGCACCGTGAACGAGGGGGTGAACTCCCACTCCGCCCCGGTAAGTCCTACTCTGCTCTGGCTCCCCCTGCCCTGTGAAGCTCCTAGGCACTGCTTCAAAGGCCTTGGGCCCTGCTACCAGTCTGGTGTGACTTTTCCTGTTGTCAGACTGTGGGCAGACTTGGTGGCTGTCCCTCAGCCCAGAGCACATGAAGCTATGCAGGCGTTGAGCTCCCAGAGGCAGCAGGGAGCCTCTGGTTTGGGCCTGTAGATGGCTGTAGGGACAGCTCCTTCCTTTCATTTCCACAAGCCCTGGCTCTGGAGCTGTGCCCTCCTGCCCTATGGGATGTACCCCTTCTGGGCAGGCAGGCCAGGGAGCCCTGTGTGCCAGCCTTCTAGTGTCTAGCTTAGAACAAAGTTTTCTCTTTGGTGGTTTGGAAACCCCAGGTGACCTGGAGATCCCATGAGAGAGTACTGAGCCAGGGCAAGAGTGGCCTGTGGCTGCCCGCTCTGGTTTGTCTCAGTGCTACCTAGACCTGCCCTAGGTCTGCCCTTCAGACCTAGGTCTGAAGGGATCAGATGAGAGAAGGAAGGTCCATCATCCTTGGGACTTGTTCATGGTCCTAGGACAAATGTACGAGGGAGGAATGAGCGATGTGGGATGCCTTCCATCTTGCCCTGTACCATCAGCCCCAGCCTTCTGATTACAGCAACTGTACCAGGCTCTGCAGCTTCTAGAGACAGAGATATATATGGGTCCTTGGGCCTGGCGGAGAGCAGGAGAGAAGTTTGTGGGCCCAGGACTAGGCCCCCTCTCATCAGATCCCTGAGCACGTGCTGCTGGGGGCAGATGTGGCACAGTGGCCAGTAGCCATCCATCACAGGACCTGCTGCTTAGGTTTGAACCCATTGTCCTCTGCTTCAAGCTGCATAATATCAAATCGGCCTGTCTCTTTGACCTTTACATTCCTCATCTGCAAATCCGTGCCCCATACAGATCCAAGGATTGGATGTTACAGGCTTGGTGTCTAGGCCTCTGCTACTGCCTATTGTCTTTGGTATCAGGTTGCCGAACACTAGCCACATTGAGGGTGTGTCCGGCTGTGCTTAGCGGAAGGCCCCATGGGCTCATTTTCTTTCTCCACATGTTCCCTGCCCTCTAGATTTCTTCGGACCTTCTCAGGAGCCTAGTGCCTACCAGACAATTGACTCACCAGACTCGCCTGCGGACCCCTTGGCAAACCTGGAGAACAAAGGCCTAGCTGCTCCCCGGGGGTACTGAAGCTATTCCCTGGCCTTCCTGGTGCCCAGCAGGATGCTTGTCACCTCCATTTCCTGGACATACAATGGAGCATCTCCATTCCCTACCACAGAGATGACCTGAGTCATGTGCCCTTGGAGGTCAAGAGCCCCTAGCTTCCCAGCTAAGAAGAGCCCAGTCCTAACTCTCCAGGCTGCTCCTCCCTTTAAGACCTGCCAACCCTGGGCTAGACCTGTGGTTGCTTTCTTCACCTCCTACCCCACAACAACACACTTCTGCCAAGCTCTGCAGAGTGCTGCAGGGCCAGCCAGGCCTTAAGGGCCATGGTTGCTGCCTCTTGGGCTGCCCCAAGATGGCTCAGCCCTTTCTAGAAGCTCTGGGAACTTCTGGTCCTCAGCCTGCCCTACATGGGAGCTAAAACTCCATGCCTGTCACTGCCTCGTGCCTTGGTGCCTGGGGATCCCAGGCCTGGACACAGTAGGTCTGCAGAGGCCCCTCTCCAAGCCTGCCATTAAAATTCAGAGGTTCTGCAGCTGGACTGTTGGAGCCATGTTGATCTCCAAGCCGGGACCTGTCTTGCCCTCTTGGGATGATTTCTCCTTTGAATCAGTTGCAGGTGGAACTTGGTCTAAGCCACTCGTTTTATCGGGCCTGGTGAAGGAAGGGCTTCCCTATGGGTCTGCCTTTAGGAGCCTGGCTCCAGCCAAACGGGGGAGGCAGAGACAGTGCTGGTCAGCGTGGCATGCAGACATCTGTCCTCTGAACCAGATGACCCAGCACTGGTTCAAATTCTGCTCTGCCACTGGCAGCGGTGTGAAGCACTTACCATGTCTTCCAGAAAAGAGGTGGTTATCAGGGTCTGCGTGTGGAAGCCCTGAGTGGCCAGCTGCACTGCCCCTGAGACTGGACCATGAGGCAGGGCACGGGTGGTTTCCTCTAGTCCCTGTGTTCTCACCTCAGTCCACTGCCTCCTGAGGTGGCAGGGCCAGGACTCCCACTCTTGCTCAAATGCTAGATCTCTGGGGACAGACCGTTGAAGACAGACGGAGGCGAGAGTCCTGAAAGAAACAGGGAGGCTGAGTAACACAATTGTGAAAAGTGAAACAGCCTGGGGTGCAGGGGGAGGGGTTGTGGTCCATCGGCTGTGTTGGGGTGTCTGTCACTTGTGGTCCATCCGCTGTGTTGGGGGACCACTTGTGGTCCATCCACTCTGTTGGGGAGGTCACTTGTGGTCATTCTGCTGTGTGGAACACCATCCCCTGTAATCAGCGGATAACCCAGACCTAAGCCCAGCATGAGCAAACAGGGTGAAGAGCAGCTTGTACCACTAGAGGGCAGTACCTGTGACTCAGCTTCTCACAAAATCTTTAGCTTTGTGTGTGTGTGTGTGTGTGTGTGTGTGTGTGTGTGTGTGTGTGTGTGAGTGTGTGAAGCAGGAAACATGAGCTGGGACCCAGAAATGACTCAGAAGCTCAGCCAGTAAAAGGCATCTACTGCTGAGCCTCACGATCTGCGTTTGGTCCCTGGAACCCACTCCTGGAAATTATCCTCCGACTTCCGCACTCTGGCCATGGTATGAGGTTACACACATACCCCAAAATTATATAAATGTAAAAAAACAAAAGACCGTCTATTATTATTAAAAACCCTCTTGTTGGGCAGTGTTTTTAATAATCTCGGCACTCTGGAGGCAGAGCAGGTGCATCTCTGAGCTTGAGGCGAGCCTGGTTTACAGAGAGTTTCAGGACAGCCAAGGCTACTCAGAGAAACCTTGTCTCAGAACAAACAAACAGAAAGAAAGCATGTTCTGGGACTCATACTTAACAGAGGCCTTGGAAGAGGAGGAGGAAGAGGCATGTTGTCTCCTCATGTTTCTGTAAGGCTTCTTAGCAGAATGAAGGCCTGGGGACGCTGCCTGGGCCCCTTGGAATAGGTCAGGTTTACAGAGACTGATAAAATGAGCGAGGAGCAGCTAGGATGGGTCACAGAGCCTGCGTTCTCCTCCTGCTTCCAGGCCCCCAAATCTGACTTTAGGGAGGGGTAGAGGAGGGCTGTCTCTGGAAGAGCTCCCTACAGCAGGGCGAGACTAGAGCAGGAGAGCTGGACTTGCTCACTGGTCAAGGGTTGTACCACGCTGGGTGACAAGTTTCCAGCTGATGGAGAGGAGGCCCTGAGGCAGGTGAAAGCATGGAGGGTACCAGTGCTGGCGGCCACCTTACAGAGGAGCCCCATGAAAAGGAACATCTGGTCCCAGACTAGATGAGGGAAGAGAAGAGACATACCCTTCAGGCAACACTGCACAAGAAAGGGTCCAAGTAGAGGGCCTGCCTCAGGAAGCCTGAAGTAGGAGCACTGGCTGCATGTGCTCAGGAAGCAGGTGCAGCTGGAGCGCTGAGGGTTAGACAGCAGCAGAGGAAGTCAGGAGCCACCCTGGGGACTGGCTTTCACTGAGTGGCAGCTCCAGAGAGTGTGCGTTGGAATCCAGATCTGAATTTGACTGGCTGATACACCCTAAAAGGAGAGTTTGCCTTTGTGAGCTGTGGGGGTGTGACAAGGTGTCAACTCCTGGACGCCTGTGGGCCAGCAGGATCTGCAGGTGCGCTGGAGAGAGAAGCCAGGACTCACTAACAGCAGGCGTGGGCTGGAGTTGCTACTGACTGGAGGGGAGGAGCACAGGCAAGCAAGGCCCAAAAGGGCTGTGCTTGTGGGATAGGGCTCTTCAGCTGGCTGCTCTCAGCACCATCTGCCTTTTGTGCCCCAAGTCCTCTTGGTGATTTGGAAACAGGCCAGGCCCCAGATTTTAATCTAGAGTCAGCCATCCTATGGCCTTCTCTTACTTGTGGTCTGCAGAGCTGAAGTCTCTTGTCCAGTTTGCAGATCTATTGGTTGTCTGTACCAAGTTGAGTGTTCTGAGGATGAAGTCAGAGAAACTGCCTCAGGGGTCATCAATTAATGTTTTCTGCCAAACTGCCGGTTTGCCCCGCTCAGGGCTGTCTTTGGTCTCCGGAAGAGCCCAGCAAGTCCAGTTCCCAAAGCCTGCCTGTAGCACACTCTGCAGCTAGAGAACCAGGCTTTAAATTGCAAAAGGCAGACCAGTGAGGTGGCCCCATGGGGAAGTGCCTTGCCACCAAAATCTGAGTTTGATCCCTGGGTCCCAGGTGAAGGGAGAGAACAGACTCCAGCAAGTCCTCCTCTGACCTCTCTGTTTGTACTGTGGCACACACTCCCTCCACAAATGTCATTAAAGCCTAAAGGTACCCCAGACCTCTGTACAAGAGACAATCTCACCATGTCTCAGTTTGCTGATTTGAAAAGTGGGGATAAGATGGGCTGTTGGGCTGGAGAGATGGCTCAGACGTTAAGAGCACCGGCTGCTCTTCCACAGGTCCTGAGTTTAACTCCCAGCAACCATGTGGTGGCTCACAGCCACCTGTAATGAGATCTAGTGCCTTCATTTGGCGTGCAGGTGTACATGCAGAAAGAACATTGTACATATAATAAATAAATCTTTTTTAAAAGAAAAAGATGGGCTGTTGACATAGCTCAGTGGGTAAGGGTACATGCTGCCAAGTGTGTTGGTCTGGGTTTAATTCCTAGTAGTACCATTCCTGTATGGTACTACTGAAAGCTGCTCTTGAAAGCTGTCTTCTCACCTCTATGTGACTACCATGACAGCTGGGCACATGCATGTGTGTGCATACACATTAAAAATGGAAATTAAAATAAAGTGAGGATAAGAGTCATGTGCAACTCAGACAAGTGACGGTTGAGAAGAGCGTTAGCCTTACTGTTCAGTAAACGTTAAAGCTTGTTGAATATGTTGCTGTGTGAATGATTACTCACAAGGGGAGGGTGACCAGGCTGCCCATCCAAACAGTATCATTTACCAACTGAGTAAATCCTGTGGAGTGCCTTTACATGATTTCAGAAGGCTGGGAGGATCCTCCAAGGCTCTGTTCTGTGAAACACACGTGAGGGCCAGACCATTTGCAAAGTCAGTGAGTGGTTCCAGCATGTCATCTCTGAGGCTGGAACTCAGATTCCCAGATTTGAGCCTGGAGAGAGCTAAGTGCTTTCTTACCCCAAATGCTTGAAAATGGACTTCATTTTAAATTTTGTACATAACAGAATGACCTGTGATCCAGAATGTGAAAGAGCTAGTCTAGTCTGTTAGCGCACTGGAATCCCCCCCCCCACTGCGAGGGAACCTAGGGTTCCCAGCTCCCAAAAGAGAAACTGATCTGGTACATGCAGACTTAGAAAGAGGAACCTTGGACAAGGCAAGCTGTAGAGCTGACCCCAGAGTCTGAATGTGTTTTATGGAAGCTGGGGTGACTGGGAGTTTAAAAAGAGGGCAGCCTCTTCTACAGGTGACAGCAGACACTCAATGCAGCAGACAGACCTGAGGGCTGGTGGCCTGGAAGACCAATTGGGAGCCTCCGAAAAGCAGCCAAGGAACGACATAGAAAGAGGTTCAGAGGACTGGAGAGATGGCTCAGAGTAAGAGCACTGGCTGTTCTTCCTAAAGGTCCTGAGTTCATTTCCCAGCAACCACTTGGTGGCTCACAACCATCTACAATGAGATCTGGTGCCCTCACCTGGTGTGTAGGCATACATGCAGGCAGAGTAGTGAATAAATAAATAAACCTTTTTTTTTTTTTTTTTTTTTTTTTTTTTAAAGAAAGAGGTTCAGTGAGGTTTACAAGCCAAAGTTGGGCGAAAGTTGGCCAAAAGGTTCCATCCATCAGGTTTAGGACGATATCTGACACAGATTTTTAAGAACGTATTTGTTAAAACAACAGCAACAAGAAACTTATTTGCTCTTGAGACAGGGCTCTTTCTGTAGCGCTGGCCAGCCTGGAATTCACGCGGATCTGCCTGCCCCTGGCCCCCGAGGGCTGCCACACACCTGACTGGACACAGACTTAAAAGAAGAGGTAGGAGGAAGGCCGGGATCTAACTCAGTGGAAAAGCTCTCGCCTAGCGGGCACAGGTCGAGGGTTCAATCCCCAGCACCACTTCGTAAAAATGGGGTGGGGGGGGTCACAGGCTTGGGATTTGTCTAAGGCCACCCAACAGCACAAGCCTTGTTGACTTCCAAGTTCTTTCCTCACAGGAAAGCACATATTGCAGGGTGCACTACGGAGCAGCCTTGAAGAGTAAAAAACTGTGCGCGATTTGGAGGGAAGCCTGCTTGTAGCCATATGCCTTGTAACTGAAACGCAGGTTCTGGGGCAGAACCGCAGCACAGAGCACTACGCATGCGCAGGCGTCTGCACCTTTTCTGGGAACGCGCCAAGCAGGGGTGGGGCTAGGCGCGTGCTCTGTGTTTGAAGTTCTACCTCCTCACACTTGCGGCGATCGTTAGCAGCCCCTGCGGAGAGTCCCGCCCAGTTCAAGCCTGGTTGGTCAAAGGACAGGTCCCAAGGAAGACTGACGCTTATGAGAGCAGGTCCAGAAGGGCAGGAAACTGGCCCCAGGCTCCTGTGATGGGAAGAGGGAGGTCTGAGTGTCCTTATGTGGGGATGAAAGGGCAAG